CTGCAGTTGAGCTCCGGACAACTGATTTGGTTTTTGCGGGCGTCGTGGTATGGTGGGTTTTTGCTTCACACGAGGGGCGCGATGAATGTTGAGCGACTCGTACAAGTGTGCGCCCCAATATGTCTACGTTAACACGGTGACGTGTCTTGTGGCTATAGATCTGTTTTATGGTTTCGGCCTGGCTGACCCGTTGCAGTTGTGCGAGCTACAACTATACATTAGCAGAGCTTGACTAAGCTTGGATTTCGATGCATCGGCATACTCGGCAAAGAGGCCATGCGGCGCCACAACTGGACTCATGTTATCGCTATTTGTTTGCTTGCTGGTTAAGAATCTATACATGCACATGCACATGCATATGTGTATGTGTATACATGCATGTGTATATATATAGACATATATACTGCGCACGCAATACTCCTTTACGATGGAAGGCCGCACATGAACATGCATATGGAACATACATTCCGTGTAGGATATTTCGAATGTATGTAACCCGTGAAGCCTGAAACCTAGTCGCGAGAAATGCACGGCTGTTCTTTGCGCACGGGTCTTTGGCCCTAGCTAGAACTGTCCGAAAGAAAAGACCGCCAAGACCTTAAATATGAAGGCCTGTGGTCCCTAGGTGTAAATTTCTGCGGAGACTAAATTTAATTCCGATCTGACCGTAATTCTGCGGAGAGGTAAAATTGACGACGATCTGACCGTAATTCTGCGGAGAGGTAAAATTGGTGACGATCTGACCGTAATTTCTGCGGAGACTAAATTGATTACGATCTTACCGTAATTTCTGCGGAGAAGTAAAATTGATGACGATCGATCTGACCGCAATTCTGCGGAGACTAAAATTGATTTGACCGTAATTTCTGCGGAGATTAAAGTTGATTGCGATCTGCCCGTAGTTGCGCGGAGACTAAAATTGATTGCGATCTGACCGTAGTGAAGCACAAGGAGGCAGAGTCATAATACTGCTGCCATGTCCCTTCTTCGGGAGTCTGTACAACAATTGACACAGAAGATGTGCTTCGAATTTCACACACACACTGTTGCTTTCATCATCTACATCGGCTTCTTCACGTTCTCCAAGCAATTGCTGTGCCCTATCCCTGATGGAACTGGCGCTGAGCATTCCTTCTGCAGCCACTGGCAGGGCAGCTGAAGAAGCAGAAGAAAATCTTTTCTCACCAGACAAAGGAGATTTCACCAGACACACATGGGCCAGCGCAGCTTCCGTTATCTGCCCAAAAGTTTTGCATTCTCCTGCAGAAAGCCCAGGAAAAGCTTCTTGTGCGCAAAGCTGCAGAAACCGAATTGTCTTCCGACCTTCGATCTGCATCAGAGCTTGCAAACCGGATTCAAAATTCCCACGCAAGTCATCAGGGTCTGACACAATATATTTTGCTGAGACAGGCCCTCCAGGCATCTTTTCTTGTTGTAGCTGAGACATGGCTGGCTAGTCACTAAGGAGCCAAGACAGCTATCAACACCAAACTACATGCAGGGCCTTGTATTTTGTTGCCTCCCTCCCTCCCTCAATTGCTCCCTTAAAACAAGCTTTTAAAAACAGACCCGTAACTCAAGCCTCAATTAGAGGAATACACCCTTATATTATAAGGGTTGAGTTTTTAAGGGTCTATTGGGTGCTCTGGGTGGACCCGCATCGGCGTTTACGGTACGGCGCGGGTTGTTTGCGCATGTCATTCGCGCATGTCTGTGGGGCAGGTGTATAGCATTGTAGCCAGGTTGCGCCGTAATCTCCGCTGCCTTTGTGCCTCTAGCTTGCGTTGACAGTGTGACAAGCCTTTGTCGCCCAGGCTGCACTTGCAAGGTCTAAGAGCCTTGGAAGAAAGCTGGGCGCGAGCTGGTACGAAAAACGAAGGCTGAACGAAGTCAAAAACGAAGGTCTATTTCACGAACCAGACCGTTTCGTGAACATTGGCGAAAGCTTGTGAAAAGGGTCCCGCTCAAAAGGGAAGCCTGTCGTTTCATGCACTTTTGAGCCAAGTCATCGCTACCAGAAAGACATCGCTTACAAGACGCTGCTAGGGTCGTTGTGCTCTAGAAAGACTTCCAGCGAGGAGGGAGCTGTTGTATGGTGCCTTTCCCAATAGCACGGCCGGTTTTCGAGACACTTTTTGGAGACATAGCGAGGAGAACTCAGGGTGCACGGGCGCTTTCGGACTCTGACGGCATCCAAAACGAAGACGAGTCTTTAAAACGAAGGCTTGAGAGGTATTCCAGTTTTGCGCACAAGGGTTTTGGCGGCAGCTCTAACTGATTTCGCCCCTCGCTGAGGAGACTGCTTGTATTTCCAGCCTCACCAAGTTCCTCATCACGTTGAGCAGCAGTGCGAGAGCTGGGCTGACGGGCACCTCATGATGTGGCGCAGTGACGTGCGCGCCAACACTCAGCCAGCACACCCTCGTTGGTATTGGTTCTACAAGGTTGGTATGCATATCTTGCTTATTCTCTACTGCATTTTGTGCATGCTTGTGATTGCTCCGCTTGCCCCGGGCATCGGGGTCAGAACAGAAGAAGTGGTTGCACAGTTCAGGCAGTCGGATGAATCAAGTTGGATTTACTACTTCATGGACTGGTGTGTATGGGCACTTGTGTTTGTGGTCATGGCACCTGCGCTACTTGTACTGTGGGCCATGATCTTCGAAAGGAGGGCATGGACAGATTTTCAACACGAATCTCGGTGTGTGAAAGCCGTCCGCATCGTAACGTGTGGCTTGTACGGGTTGTTGTGTTTTGTATGCTTGGTCCTTTCCTTGATACCTCCGTCAAGTGGTTTGCCACTTCGAACAGAAGTCCTTGTACGCGTAGAGCGACGAGCGATTAGCTATTTCTATGGCGTGGCCCTTACGATGCTAATTGCTGCCGTTTGCTTTGTCTTCAAGGAGTACGTGTCTCAGCTGGCAACCATTCAAGGATCAGGTGCGATGCGGAGCCAGAAGGACTTTATGGAATTTGCACAAGAACATCCACATCTCTTCATGACTTTCAGCACGCTCGCTCACATGAAGTCGAAAGCATCCGATCTCCTGCCAGAGGACAGCGATCAACAGGAGGAGGCTGATCAAACATGGAAAAAACTGGTGCAGTCATACAAGGAAGGAACCTTGCCACATGCATTTCTAGCTTAGCCACGGAATGATGAGCCATCCAGCTGCTTACCATGAATGTTGTAAGGGAAGTGCGTTGTGTTTTGTAATGTTCGAAATTTACGTCACAGCTGGCCCTGGCGGCTGGATTAGTTGCGTTCTGTTTTGGTGACGCGCATTGCCCTTTCTAAGTCTCACATCTCAGGCCGGCATTCACGAGCCAAGCTCATTTTTTGGACGAGGGCTAATGTTGATTCTTACTGTATTGCCTTAGTGGTGGCTGATTTGGAGAGAATCCTTTAACCAGCTGCGGGTGCAGGGCAGGGTTCGAGCACGGCTGCCTTGGCCTTCTTAAATTAATTTAAGCCTATCCCCCCTTCATAAAAACTGCCTTGGCCTTCTTGTAACTGATTCACATCTCCCTGTTGGCTCCCAGAGCCAGCGAGAAGCCATCGAGTTCGTAGGAACTGTCCTGAAGATCACTAGAAGATTTATTGGTACCCCTTCTGTGGCCGGTTCAGAGGCAAAACAACAGGACACAGCCAATCTTGGGCTCCCCTTTCAGTTTCAAAACCAATCGGAACTTTGGAAGACCGATCAGATCCCATTGAGCCGTTGGGGTGGATCCAAGATGCGTTCGAACGGCAGAAATGCCAGCACACGTTCACCCAATCTTGGTTAAGTTGTTTCTGAGCTCGGTGCGGATCCCATTCCTTTTCTGATATTGAGGTTTGTCTCAGATGAAGGCCCCTCCAAATGATTGGTTTCCTTTGCTTTCGTTGATTCCGGAAGCTTCAAACGAGCATCAGGCAAGTGCAGAAGATAGTTGCTCGGCAACGTTATGCTATTTAAATATACACGTGTGTTACATGTAAATACATCCTGTGTTGAAGACATATATGCAACATAAATTTGATATAAGCACACATGCTTGGCGCTTGAACAGGATGATATCTTCTGCGCAGATGCATGTTTCTCGGACTCCAGAAAAGGAGTTGGCCTCCCCGCAAGAGCTCAACACAGTACTTCTTTGTACGACCACTTGGGCTGGATCCGAGGCAACGCCCGAATCTTAAACTCAGATGTGAGCATGCCAGCCTATGTTGACCCATTGGGCTTCCGACTCAGTTTTCTCCGAGTTGCTGGGTGCCTTATCCATTCCACCACATTTCAGGCATTGCCTTGCTTTTGCGAACTGTCGCTTCTTCCACCTACGCCGCCAGGGTCTGTTTGGGCCCATTGAAACGGTGGATTGGCGGAGAAGCTGCTGCGAAAATAGAATCAAGCGCGCAAAAGATACTTCCAGGCAGATTGTGACCAAGGACTTCTTTGTGATGGCGTAAGGAAACCCGCCGTCACACATTCTATCAAAATTGAACGACATTTTGCCGTTTCGCTTCCGTAGATGAATGAAGACTAGAACACCAATTCGGGAGGGTTCGCAGCTTCCACATGACGGCGGCACGCTGTTGCGACGCGTTCTACGTGTCCCATCAAAGGAAAGAAGGCATCCCGCGATTGCCAGCCGGGACATGCGCCCGGACAAGTGGAAGTACCCCACAAGCTTGCTTTCTGCTGCCAACATTAGCAGTCGCACATTGGATTGCTTTTTTCTGGACTCCTGCGCCCGCCAGAACTTGTGTTTACCGAGCTTGTTGCATTCCGGCAAGCGAGCAACTGGCTTGCCCCTTTCAACTAAACTCTGTCCACTTTCTGCTGGCGAGCCATGAACCTGTGCCATTAGGAGCATTACGCCATCATCTAAAGATGCACATACCCCTCACACGGCGTTGAGACAGGAAAGCGAATTCGGTCTTATCAATGTGTCCTCGTTTTGTCTCAGAACTGCTCTGTTTCATATGAGGCCACTGCCGTGTCTCTTGCCCCTCGCAGGCTCACAGCATGCTCTTTGTCAACAACTTGGCCCGCAACGGCAGCGAGGCTCGATTTGGGATTTAAATGCTGCCTTACACATGTACACGTTGCAGCTTGCCTGCTTAGCTTGTTCGGCCGACTCCACGGCTTGTCCCCTGAGCCAGATTCAACTGGCAGCAAGCACTCTTCGGTGGGAGATCATGGTAGTCAAGAATAACTTCCTTATTGCCCACGGTGTGTATCTGCGTTGGGCCGAACAGCCGATTGCCTGATGGTGTCACATGTTGTTCGCTCATCCGCCGTAACTGCTGTGGCAGAACAGCTGCGTTTGTTGTCTGCTAGGTCCAGAAGACTCCGTTGTAACCAAATGATAATTTCCAGGGGCATCCAATGTTGGAACCGCAAGGGAATCAACTATAGATAGGTCAACGCTGTAGCAACGCATGGGCTTGGGTGTGTTCAATATTATCCTGGAAGTAGGTGTGCGCCACGTAATTTCGCGCCTTGCACGCCTAGGATCCGCCAGCATACCCGACACTCTCGGACATTTGCCATTCTTGCCTTCTTGTCATGATCTTGCAGCAAAACATATGAGATTCACATACAAATTGGGCGGTGGCACGTTGGTCTCTTGTTAATTATTGAGTTTCATCATGTTTCATCCAAAAGGGATTAGTATTTGTTGGACCCTCTAAGTAGCTCAGTATGCTTGATGCCCAAACCGTCCATGTCCCCCGCAATGTGTCTTGTGGTATTTCCTTGTTCACATCATCAGGTGGAGAGCGTTTTGAAGGGATGCCCTCTTGCGCGTCCTCCTCCTCCTCCTTCTCCTCAATCCCCATATGTTTTTCCCCAACAGCAGAAAGCTTTGGGGTCTCAGCCCAGATAGGCTCCGGGGTGGTCCGGGGCGGCCCTGAGGTAAGGTTCCACGAGGGTTCCACCAGGGTTCCACGAGGTTCTGCGAGGGCTGCGGGGTGGTGCGAGCACTAAAGAGCACCGCAACCTGTTGGGGATCACCTGAGCTTATTGGATAAAGGGGCCCGAGTGGCCCAGAGTTAGAATTTACTTATGCCAACCAGAGTTTGGCCAACCCCCTGCTTCAACATGTTTAAGCACCTATTGTTGAAAGGTAGTGAGGGCATTGTTTAAACACATTTGGCCCCCCACTGCCTTTCCAGCCCTTATTTGGGGAGAAACACCCCCTCATGGAAACACCCCCCGGAGGCCCAGAAGAGGCAGTGGCTGCCGGCGGCGGTGGATGGCTCCAAGCTTTGCGGCATGCCTCTTGGCTAAGAATTTGGCGAGTTTTGAGGGCTGGTTGCTTGGGTGGTTTGGCGTGTTTCTTTCTTTCTTTCCCACCCGACAGGCTGCTTGTCAGATTTTAAGTGACATCAGACCCGTTCCCCGCGACCGCATCCTCCCCGTCCACCCGCCGTCCGACAAGTACTTCGACAGCCCATGAAAGACTCTTTCGAGCAGATGCTGTAACAGAGCCTAACATGGAAGCAATGCCGCATTCACCCTAGTCAATGGGGGCCAGTCAGGCTCTTGCAAGGGCACACCATTTGCAGCCCCAAGAACCAACTACATGGGCCGGTGGCAGCTGAAAGTGCATGCGCCGTTTGCCTGGCACAGCTCCAAAGGGCGCCACATCCAAAAGACAAGGAACATCAGGCCCTCATGGCTCAGCAACAGCGACAAAAGGTTTTCGCTGTAGCTTGTTCAACTCAGTTTTGTCCACGCTAGCTTCAGCCGCTAATGGCTCCTACATTCACGGCTAGAAATGCATGCTCTTGGGATCATTCTTACTCCAATCATAGACTGTTTGAGGAGCCCGAGACAAAGCCAAATGACTCACTCACAACGGCGCTCTGACAGTCACGCGGCCGAGCAGGTGGCATCTCAGTCTGCCGCGAATCTTGCAAAGGCCAATGCGATGCCAAGCGACGCCCAAATAAATACCTTCTTCCACAACCTCCCTCCCCCTGCATTCCTGAACTAAATTTCCTTTGGATCATGTTTGCCCGGAAACATGGGAACCGTGGGGCATTTTACTGTTTTGCAAGCTGTTTGAAGTTGCCACAGGTGCATGTCAGAGCCCAGC